GATTCCCCGCCTAGCAGGGCACCTGATTAGGACTTGATCCCAGGACCCCAGGATCATGGCCTGAGCCAAAGGTAAACGCTTAACCGACTGAGCCACCCGGGTGCCACTCTTTCCTTTTTGCTTGTATTTCTATTTAAGATTTTAATTAATTCATGAGAGACACACAGAGAAAGACAGAAACACAGGCAGAGGGAGAAGCAGGCTCCCTGCAGGGAGCCTGATGCAGGACTTGATTCCAAGACCCCAGGATCATGACCTGAGCTGAAGGCAGATGCTCAACCACTGAGTCCTCTGGTGCTCCTTTTTTTTTTTTTTTAATAAGACCTGAACTTTGCCCATTTGATGTTTCCTCCATTGTATCCAGGCATAATCAGTTTAATTGGAGCCAGGAAAATAAAGTTTACATTCTTAATACTAACATCTAGACTGAAAGTCTGTATCAAATATGACCAAACATTTTGCTTTTCCACCCACTGTACTAAATCCTTGTAGAGATGAATGAAACTCGGACTATCACTGAAACCAGATTTGGGTTCTTTGTTCTCTTTCTGGAGGCGATTAATTTCTTGAAGTCATTTAGGAATGACTTCCTGCCGTCCTATGTGAAGTGCGCATTGGAAATTAAATATTCATTGGGAATGCCAAAAAACCAAACCTGTTCTGGATGGTATTTTCTTGAATTGCTACTCAGATCATTCCAAACCATGAAATTGCTAGCTACTGATGGCTGGATAGGTCGAGAAAAACAGGATACGTGATGCCAAAGCCTTAGCTAATTGACACAACTCGCCAAGTCACTTTTAGTTGAAAAGAAGGATAGTTATATTTTATTTTATTCGAGCAGCAACTCTAAGAGGAGTTTCCCGACCACGTGATTCCATGGATGGGTCAGGAAGGTGACTTGGTTTCATCAGCAGAATCACTGCTTCATACAGGAACAGATATCCTAGCCTGTTTGTTTTCTTTGTCCAACTGAAAAAGCAGTCTCTTAGTCATATGGGCGTATAAAGCCTTATATTTACATGATCAACTCTTACTCACAATAGAAGCTAAATTGTGCTGGATTGCTCCATATTAGCCTACGGTGGATCCAAATTATGGCACATTGGTTTTCCATTTGAAAGAACTCCAGGGAGCCTCAATGATTTTTAAAAGAAAATATTTACCAAAAACAAGTATCAAGACTTATATTCAGAGTCTTCTATATGTCTGTTTAGTGCCCACAATGAGGCCGACCTAACCTCAATTCCGGGTTACTTGTCCCCGTCCACACGTGGACCTGTGTCACCTGCAGACAAGTAAGGCACAAGCAAAGGAGGGTAGGAAGGTTGAGGTGTTGCCAACCACCCACACAGACTACACATATTCATTTCATGTCTTTCTCAGTACCGGCTGGTAACGTCTGTCTCCTCAACCCAATGTGCACCAGCAGCAAAGTCTGGTGAGGACAGACCATCAACCATTTCGGCATACATGAGTGGTGACTCGGACTGCATTTGAGTCACAATCCTTCCTTTGTTCAGAGCTGAAGTGAAAGAGTATTTATACATAAGCTGTTCTTGGTCCTAAAAAACCTTATTTCCATACTAATGAATGACCCAATTTAGAGTTTGACAAAAATGACTTATCCTTGGCAAAAGGAATATATGTCACACAACAAAGAGGCCAATTCAAGAACGTACCACTCCCCACCACAATCTGGTTTAGAAGGCAAAGGAGGAACAGGCTCCTGGATTGGGAGAAAAAAGATGCTGGAGATCCTTGGTCCCTCTGTCTGTCCTCTCCTGTCATACACACACACCCCCCCACATGCTATCGGACACACACAAATACATACCATACATGCCATCTGATGCACACATAGGGCCCCACAAACACCACATACACTACCTCTTCCATACCCACACACACCACTCACACACTCTCCTAGAACCTATCTCATATTTTCTGCCAAATTCAGCATGAATTTTTGTAAATGCTTTAACCTCTGTCATTTGCTTCTTTCATTGTACCTCTAGAATCTTCACTGGCTGCTTGCACTTACCGATGTACCTCACTATGAGCGACAGCCTTCACCCATCTGTGGGGCCAAATGTTTTTTTTTTATGATTGGTAATTTTTATTTTTTTATTATTTTTTAAATAATAAATTTATTTTTTATTGGTGTTCAATTTACCAACATACAGAATAACACCCAGTGCTCATCCCGTCAAGTGCCCCCTTCAGTGCCTGTCACCCATTCACCCCCACCCCCCTCCCTCCTCCCCTTCCACCACCCCTAGTTCATTTCCCAGAGTTAGAAGTCTTTATGTTCTGTCTCCCTTTCTGATATTTCCCACACATTTCTTCTCCCTTCCCTTATATTCCCTTTCACTATTATTTATATTCCCCAAATGAATGAGAACATACAATGTTTGTCCTTCTCCGATTGACTTACTTCACTCAGCATAATACCTTCTAGTTCCATCCACATTGAAGCAAATGGTGGGTATTTGTCATTTCTAATGGCTGAGTAATATTCCATTGTATACATAGACCACAGCTTCTTTATGCATTCATCTTTCGATGGACACCGAGGCTCCTTCCACAGTTTGGCTATTATGGACATTGCTGCTAGAAACATCGGGGTGCAGGTGTCCGGGCGTGTGGGGCCAAATATATAGGCCACAAGCTGATTGTCAGGGCTTCAGGTGGGTAGAAAAAGAAGAAAAGAAAAGCTGTTCTTCCTCTTCATCCCTCTTTTCAGATAAAAATCCACCATAGACTGGGGACAGGAAATTGTATTCACTTAGCACTTTTCAATTAAGTCCATTTTCCAAATATATCTTAGCTCTCAGACTTTGTGGCTACCAAGCATGGCGGATACCAGCAGGCAGAGATGAAGAACCATACTGACTACCTTCATGGAATATCTTGTACACGATAATTTTGAAAAGTGTTTTTATCATCTTTACGCTCAATCCTCGTCATCTAAGAAGAATAGATCATCTACTGACAGACACTAGAGATGCCTATACATGCATTGTCTTATTTTATGCTCACACTAGTTATTTGATAGAGTTGCTTTAAGTCTCCTTAAGGTTCAAACAGATTAAGTGAAGAAGGGGGAAGAAGGTTTTGGCTTTTCTCCTAATTCTCTGCTTCCCACAGCACTTCTTGGCACCCCAGGCCTTAAAAGAATTGCTACTTTGATTGATATCCATGACACTATGTGACAGACATTTCTTTTAGGTGGGGTAACATTGCATAAAAAGGTCACAAGCATGTTATGACACTCCTTGACATTGACGAATGAGCCAAGATCCCTTGAAACCCAGTCATGTTGATCTATCCTGCCTTTCTCACATGGAAAATGATCTCAAATTTCCATGTCATGGTTGGCCAGAGGCCAAGAGATCTGAGAAATAGGTATCAGTTTGCTGAAGGTAGAGGCCCTCTGTAGGCTATATCAATCTTCAAACCAACTTTCCTTGGTACTATTTGTAGATTATTGGGCACTAGCCCGACTGAAAATAATTCTATACAGTGTTTCTCACAGAGGAGGATAAGTAGACAAAAGCAACTTTTAGGCATTCTTATTTCCCTGCCATTAATGCCAACATGACCTAGCCTGAAACCCTCCCTACTCACTGAGCTCCAGTCACATTGATATTCTCTTTGGCTTTCAACATCCTGAGCATTTTCCTGCTTCAGACCCACTGCACACCTCATTGTCTCTACCTGATATGCCCATTAGCACCTCTTTACCTTCACAAGATCCATTTCATCCTTTGATTGTTGACTTAAATATCTTTCCCTATAACGTTCATTCCTTCACCACCCTTGAACATGATTCAATTTCTCAGCCTCCTGTTTTGTTGCCTTCACCACATCAATTCAAATTTTTATTTAATTGGTCTTTTTACTTATTTCCTTTTGTCTGTCACTCTACTAGAATGTATGCTCTAATAAAATAGGAACTTATCTGCCTTGTTTGGCATGTGTCCCAGGCATGTAGCAGTCAATAAATATCAAAAAACATGGATGAGATGAACAGAGGTGAATAATCATGTAAATACTAGAGTCACAGAGCTATAAAATGGCAGTGGTAGGAATTTAACTCAGGTTTGTTTCTGCCTCCAAAGCCTTCAAAAAGGGTACAAATACAGAAACTGATGTATTGACTACCTATCATTTTCCAGGCCTTCTAACAGGTCATAGATAGAAACACAAGGATCTGCCACACAAGAGTCTAAGCTATCATGAAAGACAAATAAGTAATTCATCTGTCTGTTCATTTAATAAGTATTTATTCAGAGAAAATACTGGAAAAAAAAGGAATCCTGGCCATGGACAAGTGATTTTTTTTTCTCATGTTGGTTCTCCATCAAAAATAGGCATCGGAGGAATAGCCACTGTGGAACACTACAGAGGTGTCTTAAAAATTAAAACAAAATCTACCATAGGATTCAGCAATTGTGCTTCTGGATATTTACCTGAAGAACTGAAAACACTAATTTGAAAACATATCTGCACCCTGGTGTTCAGTGCAGCATTGTTTACAATAGCTCAGATATGGTAATATCCTAACAGACAATCAATGGAAGAATGGATAAGGAAAAATCTGATTACATGCATATGAACACATACACACACACACTCCATAGAATATTAATCAGGCATAAAAGAGTAGGAAATCTAGCCACTGGGACAACATGGATAGACTTTGGTGGCATTATGCTAAGTCAGACAGGAAAGGATAAAAACTATCTGGTCTTACCTATATGAAGAATCTAAAATGTCAACAACAACAAACTCGTAAATAGAGAACACATTGGCAACTGCCAAAGGCAGGGGCTGGGGTTTGGGCAAAATAGGTGAAGAGAGCTAAAGGTACAAATAAAATAGTTATAAAATAACTAAGTCATGATGATGTAACATACAACATAGTGACTACAGCTAATACTGTATTCCATATTTGGAAGTTGCTAAGAGAGTAGGATCCTCAAAGTTCTCAACATGAGCTCGCTCACTAAGGCAGCACATATACTCAATTGGAATGATACACTGATTACATGGCCCTGTGCAAGGATGGCATGAAAATTCATGAAATGTTCCATATTTTTCCATTTCTGCTCCCTGGGAAATCTGTCTGATAAGTGCATATTAAGCTTGGACCTCCACCCCACCCTGGCACATTTACCCTCCTGGGACCCACTCACACTAAACCCTCTTCCCATGCTCCCCTACCCCACCTCCCTGGAGAGAAAATAGACATGGGGAATAGAGAGGGGTGCTGGCCTGAAGAGGGTTCTGTGCCATTAGAAAGGGGAGGGACATATGAGGGCCCCAGCTACCCACTCCCCCTTCACTCTTAACTCCTGATTAGCCACTCAGGATGTGTTTGAGCCTCTTTGTCCCCACCCATACCCCTTGGTGAATCCTTAGTGTGATTTTGGCATGCTTCAGAAATAAATGACAGTTCTCACGGGGGGGGGGGATCAAGTTCTTAACAAAAGAAAAATTGTATATTTATGGGTCACAAATGTTAGCTAGACTTATTGTTATGATCACTTTGCAATGTATACAAATGTGAAGTCATTAAGTTGTACAGCTGAAGCTAATTTTATATATCAATTACACATCAATTTCAAAATGCATATCAAACTTAACACATAGATTATTTTTAATATTTATCCCTAGGTTGTACCTCCCAAAGGTTGTGATTCAATGATCTGGACTGGGAATCTGTGTTTGATTAAAAGCTGTACAGGGATGCCTGGGCAGCTTAGCGGTTAAGCGTCTGCCTTTGGCTCAGGTCATGATCCTGGAGTCCCAGGATCGAGTCCCACGTCAGGCTCCCTGCATGGAACCTGCTTCTTCCACTGCCTGCATCTCTGCCTGCCTCTCTCTCTCTCTCTCTCTCTCTCTGTCTCTTATGAATAAATAGAATCTTTTTTAAAAAAAGCTGTACAGCCAATTTGAATTCACAGTCAGGCTGGTAAATCTCTGGTCTATTGGAATACGATAGGATAACATACTATTTTACAAGAACAAGCAAAATGGGAATCAATACAACAAAAGGTATTCACAACAGAAGTTGACATTCGAGTTGTTTATTGAACAAGACAAGCGTTAGGTGTGGAGGGGGAGGGAAAGTAACAGACACAAAAAAGATTAGTTCAAGTAATAATTTCAGTGAGAACAATAGGAGTACAAATATTTACAAGTTTCCTTAGAATCCTAAACATTAGACCTCAAAGGACTTTGGAGGTCACCTAGAGGTGTATTTCTCAAACATCAACGGGCATGGGAGTCATCTCAGGATCTTGTTAAATGAAGATTCTGACTCATTAGTTTGGATAAGAACCTTAGACTCACAGACCAAACTTTATGTAGCAAGATTTTAGGGTTTCAGAGAGGAACACTAACATATCAAGATAATTTTTAAAATAGCAGCAAACCGACAGACAACTACAACCCAAAGGCACATCAAAGATCACATCAATCCATTCAGAGACCAAGACCCAAGCTTTGACTGGAGATGACAGAGTCCAAGCCAACACCTACGGTAGTTATAGTTTGTCAGACCAGTCAACAGCATTCACTGTCTAAGACACTTGCCCTGGAACAAAAGCAAATCTTATACCTCAAGAGTTTAGGCCTTTATAGGCTCACAGGAACCTTTTTCTCCTTCAGTTTATTCTGAAAAGGGTCAGGAATGTGAGATAAAATAGCTATTCCTTTGACACTTCATGACAGCAACCTTCCTTCTACTTCAAAACTATTCCAATTCAAAGGAGTCTGACTCTAGGAAAATTTCAGAAATACTCATTTCCTTTTTTTAAAGATTTATTTATTTTTAATGTATTTATTTGAGAGAGAGAGAGCAAGTGAGTGAGTACAAGCAGCAGGAGGGAAAGGGGCAGAGGGAGAAGCAAATTCCCCACTGAGCTGGAAGCCTGACATGGGGCTCCATCCCAGGACCCTGGGATTATGATCTGAGCCGAAGGCAGGTGTCCAACTGACTAAGCCACCCAGGAGACCCTTTATTCATTTATTTTGGACAAGGAAATTGAGCATGAGCAGAATGGGCAGAGGAAGAGGAAAAGAGAATCCCAAGTGGACTCCCTGCTGAGCACAGAGCCCAACACGGGGCTTGATTTCATGACCCTAGGATCACAACCTGAGCCAAAACCAAGAGTTGGACACTTCGCCAACAGCACCACCCAGGAGCCCCAGAAATACTTATTTTCTAATCATACATCCCAACTGGCAAATAATCTAATTATGATATGACATTACAGAGATAGCAAAGTGATATGGAGGAGCAACCTTCAGGACAATAAATATTCAAATTGATAAAGGGAAAGCGCAAGTAAAGACACAATTCCACTTACACCTTAAAAAAATCTACTTAAATACCATTTTCTTCAGTGAAGTTCACATTGGTGAAATAGCTAATCAACACAAACATCCAAATTCAACCTACATTGTTGCATTTAATCCTCCCAGCAATCCTAACTAATTATTCAATCTGTTTTAGAGGTTAAGATGCTGAAGCTCAGAGAGGTTAACTGACTTACAAAGCCATACATCTAGTAAAATCACAGCTGGGATTGGAATCCAGATAGTCTGACTCCAAAGTAAAGTTTTCTTTCCAGTTTACAGAACTATTTTCCATAAGAAAGGAAGATATGATCTCCCCATTACTGACCCCAATTTTTGAACACAGGACATTTCTACCAAAGTGCTCCATTCTCCCTTAAATCAGCTAAGGGTTTAGTTTTTGGTTTCACCTGATTGATTCTGAGATGGGTGCTTTTGAGGAATCAGTCTTTGAAAGCGATTCTCAGAGTATAGGCCAATGAAAAATAGCATTAACATTACCTGAGTGTTAAACAGGCAAATTTTAGGGACCCACCAGAGACCTACTGCATGGGAATTCCTGGAAGTGGTGCCCCAAGAACTGTGTATTAACGAACCTTCAGGTGACTCTTTCTGATATAGGCTCAAGTTTGAAAACCTCTGCTCCTTATCTAGACTGTCTCCAATTTTACATCCTAGCTGTAGGGGCACCTGGGTGGCTCAGTCAGTTGTGTAGCCAACTCTTGATTTTGGATCCAGTGGTGATCTCAGGGTCAAGGGATCAAGCCCTGCAAGAGGCTACATATTAAGGGGGTGTCAACTTGAGATTCTTTCCCTCTACCCCTCTCCCACTCACACCCTCTTTCCTCTCTAAAATAAATATATCGTTAAAGAAAAAAAAAACTTAGCTCTAAATTAGGTCATTCTGCCAGAAAGTGGTAGCTTACAAGGGGTTAGTGGACTCAACTGTTTCTCTTGATTAAAATCCAATAATGGAACAAAATGAGAGATAGTAATCTCTACTCCCAATAGGGGTCTCAAACTCATGACCCTGAGATCACAACTTACATGCTGTTTCAACTGAGCCATCAGAGCACCCCAAGGTATATTTTCCAAAAATAAGATCAGCTTTTGTTAGAGAGTCTCTATCCAATGTAGTGGCTATGTGACTCACAAAATCCCACAAAACAGTCCAACTCCTCACCCCCTTAAAATCCCTAAAAGTTTATAAATCAACATTCATTTGCATTTAAATGTGTAGAATTGGGGCCCCTGGTGACTCAGGTGGTTAAACATCTGACTCTTGGTTTCAACTCAGGTTCTCCTGTCAGGGTCAGGAGATGGAGCCCTACCTGGGCTCCCTGCTGGGGCATGGAGCCTGCTTGGGATTCTTGCTCTCCCTCTTCCCTGCCCCTCCTCCCACACCACTCGGCCTCAATTGCTGTTTCTCAGGAAAACAAAAACAAAAACAGTAAATGTGTAGGATAACAAGATTTCATGGAACAGATTTAACCAAATAAAGACTTAATTTTTGTCTCAATGCACTAGCCTACCTCTCAAATCAGAGAATAAAAATTTACTGTGGTTTCTGTCATCAAACTTCAACCACAGGGCTTAGATTTCAAGGGAAAAAACAGCCCTCTTTTGCAACTTCTTATTCCTATCCTTAACCCAGAGTCTCCATTAAAACCAGGAACCAGGTGGGTCTTGTGATTTACCAGCAAGGTCATCATTCTCAACTCTGTGCCCTTACTTATTCACTCTCTGTCCTTGGAATTCTCTCCTCCCACCTTCCTATTGAAACCCTATTTGCCTATTGAGGCCTGTCTCAAACCCTATCATTCCCACTTTCATACAAAGACAGTCATGTAGTCAAAACAGCCATACTCTGGCTTTAGAGGCAGAGAAACTTGAGTATCTGTTCTAATATTTACCATCTTTGAGAATACTGGAAATTTTGTTAACTTTGATGAGTGTCCATCCCTCTTTAATAAAATGGGGATCCTGAGAGCCTGCTCCATAAATTGCTCTGTGGTTTCCATAAGAAAGCAATCTGGTTCATGAACAGAATTATCAAAAACTCTTATCCTACATGATGCTGTCTCTTCTACAGATGCCTAGAGCAACTATAAGTTGTATCCCACAATTGGCCACATAATAGAACTGTCTTATATTGTGTACCATGTGGGCTATCGAACCCAAAGCATGGACAGGTTAGACTTATAAACCTCTTCCTCTAAGAAAAGACAAGGGAAGGTCATGATTAGATTTGAATATAAAATTAAAAGGCTGAAAGAGTGGAGGACTCTGATAAGAACACAGGAACAAAGATTCCCAGTAAGTGGAATTGCAGAAATTTATAGCAGCCAAAGCACTCAAGGGGACAGTTGTGTTAGCATGGGATGAGATCCATTTCTTATTAAAAATAAATTACCAGAGTGTGTGAACATTTTTAATATGAATTAAAGATGATTCAAAACTACCCCTGTAATCAAAAGAATTTCACTCACTTTCATCCTAAAGTACATTTTGAATAAGAAAGAGTTTTAGCTTGCTCCTAACACAAAATTGCTGTATGTCCAAACTTGAGAAACATTGACACAGGGAATACATGATGTGATGCCCTCTTAAGAAGAATCCTTAAGACAACAGGTCAGCAGGTTGAGATACCACAGCTCCCTCTGCTATGTGTGCACTACTTCTTTGATCACTGACGTAAGTAGCACAGAAGTAAGAATCAGAAAACATGGCCATCAAT